TCTCAGTGATAAGATTGATCTCAGTTTTGTTCCAATGTCATAGTGTAGACGGTGACTGGAACTTACTTGTACCATTTGCCATTAAGGTTTCTTTTTGACTGAAGATGTTATTTTGTCTTGATCAAAGGTTTCGTCTTTCAATGTGTTTGGATCTTTAATTTTGACTGTTTTCTAAAACTCAAGAGAGTTTCTAAGATCGCGTTAGAAACGTTGAATATACCTGTTTTTTTGCTCTTCAGATGTACTAAAATCCAAACTTTTGTTTTTTGCTTGGTAAGCAACAAATTGGAAGAGATTTAATTATAGTTATTAAAGTTTATAGTATTTTGAGGAAATTGAAATTTTTCATGTCAGATTGCTCTAAAGTTATGAGAGAAAAGTTGTAAATAAATAAAGAGAGGAAAGGTATAAAAGAAAGAGGTGTTTAGGAAATTATTTGACCGGGGATAAGAAAAACAAAATTGATGTAGATTCCTTCGTTCTGACACTTAACAATTGAATTTGATTTAAATAAAATAAACAAACATTTCTTGTAGTTGCGATAATATCGCAATAAAAAGATCTTTTGAATGGATTTTATTTATTTCTCAACTGTTTTTCTCCGATCAAAACAATGTGGGCAAAGAAAAGTGAAAGAAATACTTTCTGTTTTATTACTTGTTAATTTCCTTTATTGTTCTTCTTTTGCTTTTAACGTTCCGAACAGCTAACAAAGACACTTTTCCACCGTCCATCGTTTCGCTGGACACTGCTGTATCCTCGTTGTTGTTGATGTAAAAACTGCTAGCGAAACGGATATACTGGGGACTATCTGCTTGTGGTCAAGATAGATTCCGACAACAGAGGTTCAGCGACCTGGGCGGGGATGGAGAGAGGACAGTGTGGGTGGAAATGACAGTGGTGATTAGATCTTTTTTCTTGTTTTCTGTCATCCATTAATTAATATTGGAGGGTAGCAAAAATAGATAAGAAATTTTTTGAAATCAGTTAGGTAATAATGTTTAAAGAGTTGTTAAGTGACAAATGAGTTTAAATACGTAATTTTTCTTTGCTGTCTACGGAAATTTTGACGCAGTCTGTTTTTTTATTTTTCTATTGTTGTCACCGCTAAACAAGTGGAATTAAACTATGTTAAGATTGGGTGACAGAACTGACAATTCGTTCAGTTTAATTCCACATACAAAAAAAGAAAAAAAAAATTAATTGGTTCTAAATTTGATTAATCAGCAGCTTTTGTCCTTCGGTAAATTTGGTGAACAAAAACAAAAAAGAAACTTTTTTCCATCACTCTATCAAAGCTTAGATTTCAGAAGGAGGAGAAAAAAACAAATTGATGAATGAATAAACAAATAAAAAAATCAAAAAATTGCAAAACGTTTTACACCTTCTTTTGTTTTGATACAGTGTATAGGTTAATTGAAATGACACAATTTTGGCAACATCTCAAAAATGTTATGTAGTCTTCTAGAGCGGGTAACCCCGACAACGACAACAAATTTGTATTGTTCACGTTGAAACTGCATGCTTCAGATGCAACAACACTTTCCAGTAAATGATTCGATTAGTTAAACTGAGGTTCAGGTGCTTTGTTCAGCCATACAACTGAAAAACATATGCTTTTACAGTAGGCAACTGCCAAAATAATTCACGACTACACCTTTTCATCAACAATATAGGCAACGTCAATAAATCATCTAAAAATTTCTACGCTCCTTTTAAGTGCTGTTTCACCGATTCCCACTGATGTATTTATGTTCCAAAAACTTTTCAAATTTTTTTTAGCACCATCAAACCTTTCCTAATTGCAATGTATCAATTATTGGTGCACAGTTAAACATTTAACTCGAACAATGAGCAAATCTGCTATCATTTGCATAAATGTTGCATTTCTTATTGCTTGACTTTTTCTGCATCCCTGTCTTAATTTTTGTTAATTTTTTTTATCCTCTACTCATATTAAACAGTTGCCCATAAGACGTACTTGAGACGTCATTTTGAACACTAAAGCGAAGAACAAGTTAAAAGATTAAGCAAACAGCAACCAAATTAGTTACTATTTTAGTATTCTGTCTGTACCGGTCCAACCTCAGGAGAGTGAATCACTTATTTGTTTTGCAAATCAACAAAACCAATAGAAGTAATCAACAAAGTGACAGTTTTGTCTCCCTGTACCAAATCAAATTAGCAACCAGTTTCTGCGTGACCAGGCTAACAGTTTGGATAGCATGGCAATTCACAGGCTGTACAATGTCTGTCTAATGCTATGCCTGTTCTACGGGATTCACGGGCAACGCGTAAGTATTTGATGCATTGTGCTATCATCTAACAATACGTCGTTGCGTTTGCTCTTAAAATTGTAGATTAAAGAACGTAAAATAAAAAAGTGATATTATCCGTATGACAGAAGTGTTTAAACTGAAATAAATATACCATTTAAAAAGCGCTTCAAAAACATTTTGCTGAAAAAATCCCACTTTTTTTCTTTTACATTTGCACCATCCATACTGTTTGCTGTTTCCAGATGCTCAGCTTGCAAGATATTGTTGCGCTGAACAACTTGTTCCAATCACCCAGTATAGCTAGATTTGGGTTGTTGGGTGCACCGCTTCGAGTGGCCACACCATCAGGGAAAACAGAAAAGCTTTCCGGTTTACCACCGTTACCTGATGGTTAGAAGTTTGTCCTTTTTTTTTTTTTTTTTTTTTTTTTTTTTTTT